CATCCTCCTCCTACTGCATGTCCTAAAAGCTAAAAACATTCCCTTTTAAGAATGGGAATCTTAGCTGGAAAAAATTTTTGAATATGTCCATTGTAATTATATAAGACCATAATTGTGTTTCTACATTAGAGCTCACCTTTGAATAATGACAGAGTAGAGTAAGAAGTAATGAATTTAACAAAAATCTTTTTTACTGCAAGGTAATTGAAATTGCTGTCTTATTGAAGAGAGTCACAGGTATGGAAATGTAAACTACATTAGAACTTTGGATTTATTTTGGGCAATAATGTAAAATTTAAATCTCCAAATGCATGTAAAAGTTCACATATATTAATTTCTCTTGATGTTTTTGTAAATATGCAACTTCAGAGGTTGATATTTTTCTTGAGCACATGAAAATACAAGTGCTAAATTTAAGTGTGCCTAAATTTTCACGGGAATAAAATGACCATCATTTCAAGAAAGCTGTTGATCCACTACTTGGTATAAAAATTATGTAGTTATTTGAATGCTTTAAGGCATTATAATTTAAGAGAGAAGATAGAAATAAATAACATTTTCTTCTGGAAGTCACAATATATTTTGCAATCTTGTCTTTCAGTCTTGCAGACATGGTTTATTTTCTTAGACCATACCCACAAATATGTCTGCATGTGAGAAGAAAGTCAAACTCTCAAAATTATAGCACCTTTTAGTATTTAGAGAATACAAAATGCAGGAATGTCCTGAGAGTGACCTGGAAAAAAAAAAAGAAGAAAGAAACAAGAATGACTGGATATCATGCTGCTAATATTTGCTGATGAAAAATTTTTAAGTATAAAGTGGGAGAGTTTATTGAGATAGAAAAGCATAAAGTGGAAGACTAGAGTCCCCAGAGTTGTGGGGGATCCCAGGACAGGAAGTATCACTGATAAAATTTTAAGATGTCAAAATCTGAGAATATCTTAAGTTGAAGAGATTAGCGTAATAAGAAAAGTAAAGAAACATAAGCATTTCCACTAGTAGGTATTGAAAAGAGATGCAACCTGAGAGAGTATGAACTTCAGAATAAAAAAGCTATTCTGTACATTATGCTCTTTGAATTTAATTTTCATCATCTATAGATCATAAATAAAACAATGTGGACTTTTGCTTTATACTATGTCATGATCATTTTTGCCCCTCAAAATATCTCAGTATTTCTCTTCTGCTTGTAATACCTTTCTCCCCTATGTTCTCTTATTTAGTTCCATGTCGAATATTCTATCACTCTGGCCAGTCTCTTTCTATCCTTCAATCCTGCTTTAATTTCTAAAAGGCACATACTACTCCTGGTAATTACATTAATTAATATGTTTATTTGCCTTCCATTGTAACAAAAATAACATGGTATCAGGGTTTTTTCTCTGTATGATGCACAACTCTCTCCCCAGAATCTGGAAACAGTGTCCAATAGATTTACTATGTACCAGTGCATAGTGACCAAATAAGTAATTAAATAGATAAAAACCTTATTGTTTCCTTATGATCTTTAATATTCTAATTCAACTGATCACCTAATTTGAGTAGACACTCTAATTCAACATATCACCTAATAAGAGTATGATCTTGAACAACTTACTTCAATTTTATTAATAGATAATGATAACAACTTTAAAGTCCTTATCTCTGTGTTTGTAATATATAGTTAGGAATCAATAAATGGTGACTGCTATCAGTAGATATTCTATGTCTAAAAGAGTTTTTTTTTTTTTTTTCGGTGGTACTGGAGTTTGAACTCAGGGTCTCATACTTGCTAGACAGGTGCTCTACCACTTGAGTCACTCCACCAGTCCCTAAAAGAGTTTTTGTTCATTACTTGTTTCTGGAATGCCACAATCACAAGTGTTCAAAAGACTGACTGCTTCTTTTTCTGCCTGGTTCCTGTCCATTAGGAGACCAGGAAGAATACTTGTTCCAGGGCAGTTCACAAATTGGAGGTGCCAGTAGGCCACAAAAGACAAATGGGCATTGCTGTTCCCTATTTGCAGCCTTGCGTGCTCATGTTACATTCAACAAGCAGTCCTCAAAAGCCAGGATAGGGGAAAAAGTATGTTGGAGGATGAGCCACCATTTCTCCTCCAGAAGAATTTTCATTGAGTTCTTTTTTTACTCATGCTTTTTCTAATCTACCCAAATGGATCACAAGTAGCCTCCTAAAAAGAGCTTTTGATAGAGGTTATATCTACCCCTTGTCACATACAATCTGAAGGTTTAGATCTTAGATAACTTGCTCAAATTCATACTGTAAGTAGGTGACAGTCCAAATTCACTCTCAGGTCAGGCTTAAAACCCACTCTGAAGCATATTTACTGACTTGTTACCTTCTTCTAACTGTACCAAAAGAGAATTGATGAAAACATGGTTACATTACACAGGAAGTATAATGGTGTTGTTGACATACTTGCTTAGTTGTTTCTACTAACTCTGCTTGCCAAATTTGCATATTGAAATGGAGTTCTAAAATAATTATCTGTGGAGACCATGAAATGGAAGCAATCCAGACCCCCAAACCACATTTTCTACTCTGTGGTTATGCTAGAATAGAAAGGGATATTACAAAATTTAAGGAAGGGAGAAAGAGGATTTTTACAAAACAGTTTCTAAGCCTATACATAATTAATTTCAATATTCTATGTAAAATAAGATGTTGCAGAACTTAGAGAAGGAAAAAATGGACATAATTGGAAAAAATCCTACAACTGTATTGTCCCATTTAAATAAAACATTTGTTTACCAATGCCATGTTTTTGGCTTCCAATTACAAGTTGATTTTAGTTATAGCAATGTATTTCCATGTGTTAGTATGTTTAGAAGAAAACAATATGCATCACCAGACAAAAGTTGAGCCATTCTTACTACTAGAGATTGATAGAAACCATATGTCAGACAGCATCTGTTTGCATTTTATTTAAGTTGCAGAGTGCTAGAGGCAAAAATGGAAGAAACCAAAGCAAGGGAGTAATGTTTTAGACAGTAGGATATATTTTCACAATACAAAATGAAATGATATGGCAATAGTCCAGTTTATTATAACAGTTTCGACAACTAAACTGGATACTGGGTTTTCTAAAGTAGAAGTCTTTGGCTTGAGTTATATAGGGTGTGTTATTTAGGTTGACTATGGTATTTGGATAATTTCATAAAGTATTCAAAGTAAACTTTATCTCTGTACTACAGTTATTTTCAGCACCACCTTAAGTGTTTGACTTTGATATTAAGTATTCAATAAATTTTAAGTAGATTTTATTCTTTACCCATAATGACATTGTTTGGGTCTAAGAAGCGAGGAGTGTAGTATACTCCTTTACTACATTTTAAGAGAAAAAGAAACCACTTTCCGCAATAATCATACCTTTGGAAGAGAATATATACTAGAAGCTCGGTTTTAAGTCCTTACTTTTCAAGACAGATGGAGGTAGGAAAGAAAGAAATACAACCAACATAGAGAAACACAGGATGCTTAAATGTAAACAAAGCAAATTAAATTTCTCCAACTAACAATGGTTAGTATTTTATTTTAATTCTTCGCAATACTTTACATGTGAATATTATCAATATCAACAGCTTGAATTATAACACAAGTGTTGGTGCTATGTTCCTCAGTTCATATCTTTCAGCTCTTGCTACTGTATTCATGCATTGCTATTTTTAAGTCATGTTGAAAGCTTTTTTCCCCTTCATTCCAATTTAATCCTTATTAATCCTTACAAACCTTTCAGGTTTATTGTCTAAGCAAAGCTTTCTAATCTTTTAGTACTAATTTGAAAATTGTTATTTTTTGTTTATGTATGCATATAGCATGTACCAATAAACATAGAGTATTCAGCCAAAAAAATGGCAAAATAGCCTTGTTAAGGAAAACATCATTTTCCTGTAATGATAGCTGTTATCTAAAAATGATGCAAATTTGCGTGGCTAAGCAGTTATTCTCTAAACAATACTTAACACTCCTCAGATATTATAGGGTAAATTCAAGGCAGGCATTTATAAAATAAGTCCAAGTGAAAAAATTTTGCATGTTTATAAATTTCATCATAGAAGAATTATGTATTATGGAAAAATATAATATAAATACAACCTAATATGAATGATTTGAAAAGAATATTCTTTACTAGACCCTTTCTCTTGTTCAGTAAACACAAATAAATCGTGCAACTGTGATCACATCTTATTGAAAATAGAACAGTTTTTTCTTAATGTTGAATTTGCTTTACTAATAACATGAATCATGCTCATCTTCTAATTAAAGCTTTCAAGATTCTTCTTTTCTATAGAATATTCTGTAGATCACACTGGATCCCTGCCTTCCTCGTGTTACTTCTGTTCACTGCAAATCAAGTCAAACTCAATGACTCTCCAACATGAAACTAGCACTTCTTAGTTGTTTTTGTTTTTATGCGTCATCCCTTATCATGAAGGCTTTTTGTGGAAGTCTCCACTAATAAGATCTAAATTTTTGGAAAGAATGTACTGGCAATCAACTTGATTTGGGTTTTTTTCACTCTCACATTTTTTATTAGAGTGATGTATAGAATCACAAATGTATAGCTGGAAGAAATTTCCGAGTCAATATAGTCTAGTGAGGATCTCAAAAACAAATTCAAAATGTTCAAATTAATTAATGGTACAAGTTTTTGTGTAACTTCACCAAATCCCAACTTCTGCTTTTGCAGAATGAATTAAAATACTAATCATGCTCAGATATTAACAGAAGAAATTTATGAAGAGCTCTTGTGACAAATTTCCAATCCCTACATGTATCCACCTCTACTAAAGCAACTTATTTGCCTCTGAATTTAAGGAATAATAAGTATATTCTCTAAATTTTGTTTTTTTATCATGGGTGAATGTTAAGGAGAAAAAATAATTCTTCCAAAATTAGAACAGTTTCTATGAATTGGCGTACCTTTTTGAATATTTTTGTTAAAATGTAGAAACATTTTATGATGTCAATACACTTTGTTTCTCTTGTCTTGTAGGAGCCTAAGTTGCCAAAGGATTACCTTGCACAAAAATCTGTTCTTCTCTTTTGTTTGTAATTCTGTTGTAACAATTGTTCACCTTACTGCAGTGGCCAACAACCAGGCCTTAGTAGCTACAAACCCTGTAAGTAAAACTAGATTGTGCCTTTAAAGTTCAAGGGGAGCGTGGGGAAAGGAGGGGAGGACAAATGTGGGGATAGGTTTTCCTAAAATAGATAGTATGCTCAGGTCTGACATACAGATAGCATATGTAGTAGCTATATTACAATCTAGGAAGGTAAATACTTCTCAATATTCCCTAAAATACAAAGAATGAATATCAAAAATGATATATTTCTTCGTTTCAATTATTTATACATGTTACACATAATGACAGCTCATTTTATGGCTGTGGAGTCCTGCAGCTCTTGGGCCAAAGGGCTATACCTACGTAACATGTATACAATCCAATTTAAAACCCAATCAAAGCAAATAATTGAGTAATTTGGAATGATATATGAAAATGAGAATTTTTTAATTAAATTATATTTTTGGTATCAAACTGACTGGAAAAGGCAATAAAATAAAGATGAAAGAAAATATACCTCACATGTACTATTAAATTTCATTAGCATAAAAATTTTAAATCTCTGCCAAGATTTTGTTTTCTTAATAAAAACACTGATAAATTGCTTCTTCGAGAGCTATATTGTAAGTTAAAATTTACTATTCAATTGTGTATGTTATGCAAACTATACACATGTATAAGCTATATTTGACTTAAAATATCTATATTTATAACAAGCATATCAAAAATTTTAAGATCATATGCTTTCATAAAGTTGTGGTAAAAATAAACAGTTTTGAATATGGATTGGTGTGTGTATATGTGTGTGCACAAGCATAAAATGATTTTTTGTTAACAATTAGCTTATCTAGTTACTGAAATCAGAGAAGGGAAGGAATTTTCACCCAATGGGTCAATAAACAAAATGCTCATATGTGTTTTATGTGTGTTTTTAGGGTAATTTCCAAAGTTCTAAAATTCCCTTCTTTGTTTGCCCATGTGCATCCGGATTGTTTAATCTTGTATATGTTCCACTCTAAAGTCACTGGGTTAGGAAACACATGGGAGTATAATTAGCAATATAAAAACTTGGCCATATCCTGCCATTTTGGAGTAATTTCACTGGGGCAAGGAGATTTATTATTGTTACAAACTCGCAGAGCAAGAGTTTCTAAATCTTGTGTTTAAAATACAAAATATGAATTGTAGTATAGTTTATATATTAAAATTTTATGTGAAATCAAAATTGTCAACCTAATTAAATTTGAGTATCTAAAACCTATATAGGTAAAAATTGAAGTTGAAGTCCATGATATTATAAGTATAGTTGAATAACTCATTTTTACTGTTGAATGGACTTTAATGTAATATATTTTACACAAAAGTGCATTATTTAAAATTTAATATTATATATTCTACATATATATTTAACAAAGAAAAGGGTTTTACATATATTCTTTGCCAGGAAGTAGTATAGGTAGCAATAAAAATAAAATTGGAATTATAAAGAATTGTGTTTAGGACATAGTTTTGATTGATGTTATATGAGTATTAGCAAATCATCTCACTTTCCCAGTACTCAATATTTTGTCCATAATGTATGTGGCTAGTGATAATGCACACCTCACAAAAGTATTTAAATATTAAATAAACCATATATGTATAAATTGTGCATATATTTTAAGGTAACTACTATGAAAATGTTAATATTCTGTGATAAGCCAATATTTACTTAACAGTGCTTTTCATTACCAGTTTGTTTTTTAGTGAAAAAATAAAATGATAGTTACTGCTAAATATTTATTGAATTTCAGAGCAGAAGTTGCAGTGGATGGGAATAATTTGAAATGTATTTCTGGAAGACCTTTAAATTTACTTCCCTTGTCAAGGGAGTAAACTATCTTTTACTCCTTCCTATTTTCTTTACTCAGTATTTGAGCCTCCTTCTTCCTGTTTCTTTAAGAGAAGAGAAAGTGGAGACTTTAGGAAAAGAGGAAGAGAAACCATATTTTTTTCTTCTTTATACCCACATGAAAACCTCATAGTTTGTATTTGCATAGGAGAGTGTATGGGCTCATAATATTATTATTTAATAAGTTTTTATACTAGTAGCATGCAGGATGCAAATATTTCCAAATATTTAGCACTTGTAATTAATTATTTTGAAATTACTAACATTTTCTAATAGGATGCAACAATCGGCACCAATAATTAAAACAGATGTAAAGTTATGCCTGTGTGAAATGTTTATGCTTATAACTACATAATAACTAGGACACATTAGGAAAGTAAACAGCCACTAAATGAGTTAGAGTTGTAGTTTACAGGACTTTTCTGGAAGATACAGTATTTAACCCTTTGGAATGAATGATTAAAAACTCTAAAGGCAATATTAGATAAAGGTGAAACCTGGCAGTTTACAAATCTGAATCATCACTGTGTAAAACTTTGCATACAAGACAGAAATTTCTGTGCTTCCTGAAATAAACAAGATTGTTGTTTTACAGTTGGATTCATAAACTACAAAATAAAAAGTGTTTTCTGTTTTTCTCACAGGTTAGTTGTAAAGTGTCTCAGTTCATTCATCTTTACCTGATGGGCTGTAATTACTTCTGGATGCTCTGTGAAGGGATTTACCTGCACACGCTCATTGTGGTGGCTGTGTTTGCAGAAAAGCAACACTTGATGTGGTATTATTTTCTCGGTTGGGGTAAGTGCAGTTATACACATCTGTTGATTCAGCTGATTAAGAAAGTTTTAAAAGGAGGTAAGGTTTTTCTCTTACAAAAATACTTCTTAGTAATCATTTTTAAAGAATGTGTAAATTAAAATTTTGTTAATTTCTATAAATGGAAATATTTAAAGCAAAGCATCTCTAACTCAATGTTTTCAATAATCACGGGTTGATTAATAATGTGATCTGTTTTTACTTAATATTCCAATGCATAGCTCATCCTGGCTGAGTACATAGTGGCTAAAACAATTGAATTAGGATTATGAATTAGCAATCTGGACCTCACTGTTCTGTATCCCTTTTTTGTCATGTGTAAAAGGAGGGCGTTATGTTTAACCATCTTTGAAGTTCCATATTTAAAACATTTGAGATTTTTAAATTGTTATTTTATAGTTAGAGTAGCAATGTCAGTAACTGAAAAGAGGCACACAAAGATCTTTTTTTTCTTCACACAATGGTATGAACATGGTATGAGTTACAAAACAACAAGACACTGGCATACTAAAAGAAGTAACTGGAATAATGCAAAATATAAAATTCAGGAAATGAGTTCAATAGAAGTAGTTACTAGAAACAAAACAGAAATTTTACTTATCCATCACCTATCCATCTATATTAAGATATTGATATAGATATAAATATATATGTATACACATACTCCTAATCTTTAGTACATTCAGGTTACCTGTATAAAGCATTTCTTCATTTCATTTTTGAAATATCTGATTTAGAAGATTCAAAACATGCAAAATTTCTGATTCAAAAGCCATTTCTTTCTCTACTTTTCTTCTTCAAAAAATGGCTTGCTAAAACCTTTCTCTCATAATGGAAATTCTTGTGAGTCTAGCTTTCATCCCTATTTGATCATTTACCAAACATGAGGCAATTCCATATCACAAAAAGTATACACGTGCCAAATTTCTTCTAACTGCTGGGACTTAAGTAGCAAATTGTAGACTTAATAAGCTCTGGAATCCACCAATTCAAAATAACTTACAATGAAAAATGTATACATCCATATACATACAAACACACAAAAAATATCTAATAGTTTATCATATTTATTTTTTACCTACAGATAATATTTATCAATAAGTATTTGGTGACCACTTTTTTATTTTGCTATGAGAATATTTCTGAAGTTTGTATTTCATGAATTACTTTGAGAGTTTCAAATTATAAGAGAAGTTGCATATTTATTTCTTTCGCTTTGATAATTATAGGATTTCCATTGCTTCCTGCCTGTATACATGCCATTGCCAGAAGTTTATATTACAATGACAAGTAAGATAATCTCTCTTTACAATTTCTATTGAACTAAGTACAATGAAACTCTTTCACATAATGACTTTATTTTTCCCCATAGCTGCTGGATCAGTTCTGATACCCATCTCCTCTACATTATCCATGGTCCAATTTGTGCTGCTTTACTGGTATGTGATTAAAATTCTTGCTCATTTTTCCTGAATCTTCCATCTGGCTATGTTCTTCAGGACCTCAAAGGTCAGAGACAATGCACTTGCAGTGCTTAATTGTATAGGTTTCAATGAAGGCAGAAAGGGTAAAGGAACCAATTTGTAAGTGATGGTGAGGTGACAGGCACCAACAGTGGGAAGCAGCTATCATAGTTAAACCTAAACAGAGTAGTGTTAATGCAGAAAAGAACTCTGGCATTAAGTATAGGAAAGTAGCCAATGCTAAAACCATAGCCATACAAGGAAGAAGAACCAGAGACAGTCACTCAAACTTCAGTCTCTAACTATGCTGTGACATCTTGGTTCCTTCCATGAGCCCAATACTTTAAGTATCAGAGGACAAGAAGCCTGTGTGATGTTAACATCCATAGAGGTCACTTCCTGGCAGAATAGAGGATGGATCAAATAAGTGGGGAAGGCAGACAAGATAAACTAACACACCTATGTAAGAGTAGCAGTCCAAGAAGAGATTTAATTTATACAAAAGTATAAACTATTTTATTATTATATTAAGCATCACATAATAGAAGTATACTGATCACACATCTTTAAGCATTGTTATAGGGAAGCTGAAGTCATATTCACTGCTTTTATTATATTATTTGAGTGAGGCAATAAGTTAATACAAAGTATTATGTTTTCTCTCCTGGAGAATTTGACATAATAAGGTAATTACATTTTCTAAGAGAAACACCTTAATTGAAGTTGGTATTAAATTATGTATAACAAGATAAAAGTGGTATATTTTCAGCTCAAATTCAAAGCCTCCTTACTCATGTTTATAGACACTTTTCTATGCAAAAGTTTTGTATTGTTTTACTGTATTTTCTAGTTTCAATTTAGTATATTGCTATATTAGAACACTATTCAAGTCATTTGCAAAATGTATCATTGTTAAGCTATTCTGAAACATGTATCCTAATTAAGAAGGTAATTCTGGTATCTGATTGGCCAGGTTTAAATTCCACATCCACCTCTTACTTGTGTGAGCTTAAACAATTAAACTAATCACCCTGTCTTAGGTCCCTTATTTATAAAATAAAGAATATAATAATAGCAACTTTTATATCCACAATGAGCTGACTATAAAAGAAATAAAAATGCAATTTTATTCACAGTGTCCATACACTCACACACTGAAGAAATTAAGGATTCCTGCAATAAAAATTATAAAGCACTGCTGAAAGAAATCATGGGACACACACAAAAATTCTCATGAATTGGGAGAATTAATATTACTAAACTGTCTATACTACGGGCTGGTGGAATGGCTCAAGTGGTGGAGCGTCTGCCTACCAAGCATTGAAGTCCTGAGTTCAAACCCCAGTACCACCAAAAAAAAAAAAAATCTGTCTATACTATCAAAGGAATACACAAATTCAGTACAATGTCCATCAAAATATCCATGCCTTCCTTCACAGAGCTGGATAAAACAGAATCACAAAATTCATATAAGCTCACAAAAGACCCGAAATATACAAAGCAATCCTGACCAAAAGGATCAAAACTGAAAGTCTCACAATACCTGACTGTAAAACATACTATAAAGCTATGGTAATTGAAACAAGATGTTACTAGCATAGAAATGAAACAGAATAAAATCAGATATAAACCCACAGCCAAGCAATTTTCACCAAGGCTCAGGAACACAAATTGGTTCAAAGGACAGTCACTTCAGGAAACGGAGATGGGAAAAGTTGAATAAGCCAAAGTAGAAAAGTGAAACTAGATCTCTCTTTTTCACCATAAACAAAAATTTCCTCAGAAAAGATCAAGGACTCAAATATAAAATACAAAACTATGAAATGATTAGAAGAAAATAGGAAATGTTTCAAAATATTGGAATAGCTAAAGATTTTTTGGATAAGACCCCCAAATCACAGGCAAAACTAGATAAATGGGATTACTTTAAACAAATAACAGCAAAGAAAACAGGATAGAGTTAGGAGACACCTACAAAACTGGAGAACATATTTGAAAATTTTTCATTTGACAAATGGCTAACATGTAGGATAGGAACTTAACTCAACAACAAGATACAAATCTAATTTTAAAATGGACAAATAATATGAATTGTCATTTCCCAAAAAGGTTCATACGAATCGCCAGTGAGTATGCGAATGAAAAAATATTCAACATCATTAATCATTAGGTAAATGCAAAGCAAAATCACAAGGTGATGTCATCTTGTTAGAATGACTATTATCGAAATAGTAAATGCCTCTGAAGATTTAGAATAAGGGAATTCATACACTGTTGGTTGGAATGTAAATTGGAATAACCATTATAAAAACTAGTATGGAGACTTCTTAAAAAACTATATATAGAATTATATAGAATTACCATATGATTCAGCAATCTCACTTTGTTTCAAAGGAAATGAATTCAGCATATAAAAAAGAAAGATGCACACCCATTGTTCTTTGCAACACTGTTCACAGAGGGCAAGAAATAAAATCAACCAAGATGTTCATAGACAGATGAATGGATAATATATGTAGCACATACACAATGGGATATTGCTCAGGCATAAAAAGGATGAAACCCTGTCATTTGTGGCAACCTGGATAGAATGGAGCCAATTATGTTAAATGACATAAGCCAGGCATGGAAAACAAGCACCAAATTCTCACTCATTACTGAAAACTAAGAAAACTGATCACATAAAAGTAGAGTAGAGCAGAGGTGATGAGAAACTAGGAAGAGGAGTGGAAGGGGCCACAACGAGAGGGAGGCAATGGGCACTAAAAGGAAAGAAGAAAAGAAGCAGTCCTAATGTCTGTAGCATAGTGGAGTGGCAATGGTCTATAATGATTACCTATACATTTCATAACAACTAAAGCAGGAGAGTGTGAAGGTTTCCAACACATGGAAATGATAATATTTGTGGAGGAGGAAATGTTCTGATTCATTACACACCATATAAATGTATCAAATTATAAAACTGTACTGTAAGTCAGCACAAATATGTTGATTGAAAAGCAAAAGTAATGACTTTTAAAATTTGTCAAAAGCATGGATTAACTGTGTTAATGTACAAAACACATTATGTTAATGTCTGCATGCATGCAGACAGCACATAGCAAGCATCAAATTTCTGGTTTCTGCCTAGCCCCACAAGTCAGTCAGTTTAAAAATTAACACATACATTTTTAATTTTTTTGAAACTTTAATATAGCTTAATGTAGATTCTACTGAAAAGTTCAAAGACAGAAGCACTTCCTTCTCTTGCTCCTATACGTAACTATGGGCATATGTGACACACTGAGTTTAAGTGTATTCTGAGACAGCCTGGATTTGTATTCTTTGTACTCAAATAGCCAGCACTGAATCCTGGCTCTACCACTGCTGGCTGTATGTTAGGACAAGTTCTGCTTTGTTTTATTTTTAACCTCTCTGTGACTGTTTTCTCATCTGTAATGATGAAATAATAAGTATACTTTACAGGATGTTATAAGGATCAAATAAAATACTTCCTGTTACGTGATTAACACAATACCTGGAATATCATGAAGTCTGGAAAAGAATGCTTTAAAAAGTTTCTCCACTTATAATGTCTGTACAACACTGATTCTGTTCAGAGTAGAGCTCAAAGAAATTGGGACACGTTGTTTGGGCCACCCAAGAGCTTCCAGAACAAAAACAAGGCAACATTTAATTATAAAAGGTGTGACTGTGCAGAGAGGTATCTGATTAAAACCTAAACCCAGCCAGACACTGGTGTCTCACATCTGTAATCTTAGCTACTTGGGAGGCTGACATCAGGAGGACTGTGGTTTGAGGCCAGCCTGGGCAAATAGTTTGTGAGACCCCATCTCCAAAATAACCAGAGCAAAATGGGCTGGAGCCTGGCTCAAGCAGTAGAGCACCAGCTTTATAAGCTTTTCCCACAAGGCAAAACAAAACCAAACAAACCAAATAAACAACAACAAAGAAAACCTCCTAAAAATGAGAAAGATTCAGACTCAAGAAGTAATAGCGTGAGCAAATGCAAAATGTAAAAGTATCTTACCGAGTCCTCTGTAAAGTCTGTCCACAACAACTTTGGGAGAGAAAAAAACAGATGCTATAGCCAGAGCAAAATATTATGAAGGAAAATAGCCCATCAAGCTGCTCAGAAAGGAAGTGAATATCCACTTTATTTTCATGAAACTTTTCATCATTTTGGCCTAAAACAAGATTAGGAGACTACTTTTTAAGTTGTTCTGCCCTTGTTTAAACTCCAGGGCCCCTCACTGGTCCTGACACTTCCAAGGTCAATAGTAATTATTCATATTGTCATGTGTCTTTGTAGAATTTTTATAAATAAGGTATTTTGGCCATCATAAATCTCTTTCCACTGACTTCCTCCATCACACTTCCTTTTAAGCAAGGTTGTATTGGAATGACTACAGTACTTTTAGACTTGCTAAGGCAAAGCTGAGAGAGGATAATTTAATGTGAGTCCACACAGGTCACTTTGGGGCATGGTTAAGGAATCACTGGCCATCCTTGTGTGAGAATGGCTCCCAGGAATTTTCCCATAGACACTGTACCTACTCACTTGGCTTCCTTTTGTGGCCCTAGAGTGACATGTTAGTAGGAAGATGTCTTGCATCTACCAACTCTTTAACATTATGGGTGTTAGAGTAAAAACAGGTTTCTTCTTTACTAGGTTTGTTCACAATCGCATAAAATTTAGATATACTTCATTTGAAATTCAAAATTCATATTCTCTTTTTTTGTTTAAAATATATGGAAGTATTAAGAGAAAATAAAGTAGGATCTGAGGATCATACTTATGTGGAAAATGACATAGAGAATAATATCTCATACATTCTAATCCAACTATTATAGATTAGTTTAAAGGAGTAACTCCATTGTTAATTCTAGTTTCTGTTTTCACATTTTAAATGACTCGCTACTTGAAAAGTACTTTGCAATTTAAAAATTTCATGTAATTTTGAGCTAAATTATAGCATATCTACTATTTTAGTGATTTGTGATTTATATATTAGGATTTAAAGATTATACATTATGATTTATAAGCAGATGAAAAGGACATTGTTGTCTTTTCTTCTAGGGACTAGGAGTAATTTCTTTTTAGTCAAAACTTTTAAACAGCAATGAGTTCTTGTGAAGGGAATTCTTTAAGATGGGTAAAATAACAGCTGACATGTTGGTTTGTCATGTTCCATTCTTACACCTGTTCAAATGGCTTTTTCTACTTTTGTCTTTGTCACATTCCTATGTCTATAACACATTCCTTTTCATAGACATGTTATCATTAGGATTCTGGTGAGCTGCGTATTTTTAAAACATACATCCACTGAGTTCTTTGAGAAGAGTTGTGTAATATTTGTGTGCCCAATCATTTTCATAACATGTGCTTTAAATTAGTAATGTAAAATATTTGTTCATTGTTTTTTCTGAATAAGATGTTACTATTTTTCAAATTAGTTAAAGCATATAAACACATAATTATGTATTGGTTTGTATTTAAAAATTTTAAGATTGTTAAACTAAGGATTAATGCTAGCAGTCAGAGTGAGACAGAAGGGAAGGGAATAATGTGACTTTTCTGGAGTTAATGTCCATAATCTAATAAAAGGCATAATGAATGAACATAGAAAGAAATAGGCAAAAGGAAGAAAAAATTTCCTTGAGTGAATATAAAAAATGGAAAAATAGTATTGAGAGAGAGAGAGAATGAATATTGTTTCAACAAGACTGTTTTCTGAATCACATTATATCTTCAAAGTTTTATAACACCTTTTCAAACAGAATGTTATCTCTTAGGGAAAGTTGCTAAGGCACAGTGAATAGTAAATTTGTCATTGTAGAAAGAAATTAATAGAAAACCTTATTGGATACAAATGGTTCTACCTCTAGGATAATGTAGATTGAATATCAGCTGGTTCAATTGTATGAGTTGAGTCAGTCTCTTCATAAGAATAAAGAGCATTACAGTACTATTTTGGAGAATTGTTGTAAGGTTGTTACCAAAAGATATTATAAAGGTTATTGCTGCAAAAGGAGACATAGCAAAGACAACCCAAAAACAGATGAAAATAGTTATTATGGTGTGATCTATAATTTGAAAGTACATAGCATAGATGCTAAAGTTAATTAAAATTAATATACTTGTAAAGTGAGTATAACAATTCCAGAAATACAAATACTATACATATTCTTATACATTATAAATAGTTCAACATTTCTAAAATTGGAGTTTTATTAATACTAAATATGAACTTGTTTTTATTTACCATTTTGTTTTCTTTTTTTAGGTGAATCTGTTTTTCCTGTTAAATATTGTACGTGTTCTCATTACCAAGTTAAGAGTTACACACCAGGCGGAATCCAGCCTCTACATGAAAGCTGTGAGAGCTACACTTATCCTTGTGCCATTGCTTGGCATTGAGTTTGTCCTTATTCCATGGCGACCTGAAGGAAGGATTGCAGAGGAGGTATACGACTATATCATGCATATCCTTATGCACTATCAGGTATGGCTTTTTGAAACAAGAAGACAGTTTGAGAAATTTGATATTCGGTTTACATGCAGGCTTGTTTGGGTGGTTTTATTCTTGACTGCTCATGCAGCAAGTCGGTTATAAATACATGTATCTCTTTCATTTAGATTGTAATAATTCTCTTTTTTGTTTACAGGGTCTTTTGGTTTCTACAATTTTCTGCTTTTTTAATGGAGAGGTATGTTAATTGATTTTATTCCTTTTATTATGTTATATTTTTTCTTAAAAAGTGAGATGGAATTATAAACTTCCACCTATTTCAAATTCACTTTTTCTTAGAGAAAAGACCCATAGAATCCCATTTCATAAGTACAAATCTTCTGAAAAAGGCTCAGGTCAAATTGGAGTTCAGAAGCAGGGAAAAGTCAGACTTACTTTAAAATATCCGATCAATAAGTTTGTACATCTCATCTTTTGATTTATCATTGGATTCTACTAAGTCTGGAGTTTTCCCAACAACAGTGTTAGGCAATCCTTAACTTTATAGTACATACACTCCAACAAGAAATACAATCTGCTCATTTACATTCTCTCCCCATTTTTGTTTTTGTTTTGCATGCTCTACAATGTGGACTTTGGAAAAGTTTTAAAGTAGATAAAAAATTTAAAACAAATTAAACTGTCAGTTATACAGGGAGGAGATGGCAGTGGGTTCAGAAGTTTAGGATAGAATGTTTTAGTTTATAGCACAGCAATGTGATCTTGGGTATTTTTATACAAGTTGTTAGAAACTTCAGGAATTTTAAAACTGGCTCTTTATTTCTTATGCATATGGATATTGTTATCCATATGTTTGAGCTATATTGACTTAGCTCTCTAAATATTTCTGATTCACTTGACCAGTTTTAAACTGGAGAATGTTAGCGAAATTGAGAAAAGTTTAGAAATCCAGACAATTTAATGAGACATGGACACTTGATAACTGGGAAGCACATCACTAAGGTTCAGAAGAGGAACACACGGTTCACATAACTTTGTGAAAATCATTCCTATAAAGCAAATCAACATTGGAAATAATGGACATGTCATGATATTAAGTAAAATTTTACTTTCTCTTTCTATGTAGTAAAATCCATTGTTCCATTTTCAATTAAAAATTAAAATATACTTTAAAGTATAGATACATAAAGCACATATTTACTTATTTATAAAAATGTGTGGAATCCTGTCAAACATAGTAGCCTGTATTTCATGCATTCCATGATTCTTCCACACCAAAGACAAGATGGACTGTTTTTCTGAAACCAGTGGAGGTGTAAACACAAAATGCAGTTAGGAAGAGCAGGTAAATCATTTGTCTTGATAATATAAAATTCAAATAGCCTGTATCATATGTGTTCTGCTGTATAAACAATTAGGTGATCCCACATGCTGCCTATGTAGGATGTGTCAATCAAATATTGATGAGAAAACTATGGTCACAGGCCACCTAACATGCATGAAATATGAAAGGCATACCTCCATATTTAAAGAAAAAGATTGATGCAATTTTTGAATATTCAAAACATAATCACTAGTTATTTGTTGATTATGATAGCAAATCATAGTCCCTTATCAGACAAAATATTATGTGATAGGAGGCAGTATAGAATAAACACAGGTATGTATTTAAACTCCAGTGTTGCTACTTTCTTCCTAGCTGTCATACTTTGTGAAATGCCAGGAAATAGGAGTATGTCTATCTTTATTAAAGGGAAATGAAACCAAGAGCTTCACACAAATCTCATGAAGATTAATGTAAGCTAAGGAAAGTAAAGTTTTTTGTATGATACTCCACTCTTACAAGATCTTTACTCTCTCTACAACAAAATTAGAAATAAGGGCAAAATAGTTTCTGCTGGGTATTGAGGGGGTGGAGGGGAGAGGGAGGGGGTGGAGTGGGTGGTAAGGGAGGGGGTGGGGGCAGGGGGGAGAAATGACCCAAGCCTTGTATGCACATATGAATAATAAAAGAAAAAAAAAGGAAAAAAAAAAAGATCTTTAGTATATTATAGCTTTCATTATTAGGTTTGTCAAATAACTGATATTTGAAAATACGTGTATAAATGGAAACATTAATTATATTGGAATCAAAATTTTAAATTGGCCCTTTTATATAAAAACAGTGCCTGGGAAATATCAAAACTGATCCTTTATACTCTTGTTACACTTTATCTGTGTTAGCAAAAGAGACACAGTACCCTGATCTTTAGCCATGTCCTAAAATTGAGAAAATTTTGGCATTGGAAAATTACAATAATAAAAAAAAACCTTGGAGCCAAGTTGTTGCCAAATCCTTCAGTTTTTCACAACATCTTTAATATCCTTTTCTTCATCTCTGGAGATACAATCCCTGCTTGAGCATGAGTCACTTCTCATTTTAAGAAATACTATAATCCCTCCCTTTTTGTTCCTTTGCCTCTTAGTTTTTCCCACTCTCAAAACATGAAGAAACAGCTGCCAAGTTCAGTTTGTGTTGTTCCAACTATGTCATGTTCTTCTTAAAATCCCTTTCTCAGGCTTAGTTTCCTTCTTGCTTTCCACATTAGGTCAAGTGACTTGCCTTTTGCCTAATATCTGTATCTTTTTACCTCCACCTTTTATTTATTTTGAGCTGACATCTTCCAATTAGCATTTCTCGTTAGTTATTATTGTGGTTTGACAAGTGGTCTGGCCACTTTCATCTCAGCCCTAGTCCTGCTGCACAAAAATGTACCCTATTAACGTACTCTGACCATCAGAGGGTGTATTTAATGACAATAGAGTGTAGATATTTTTTATAAAATGATTAAATGATTTGTTGAGAACAACTGAGCTCATATTCTGTGAAGAAAGCAAATTTAGAATTTTTTTTTACAAAGTTCTATTAATTTTTTAAAATTGATTTAGATTAAGGAGTATAGACTTCATTCTTTATCAGGTGCTAATGGATATATAAAGTTATAATGTTACATTTTAATAATTTGGTTTTGCTACTTATATAAGGTCTATACACAAAACAATAAAAATATATTCACAACTTTAATAGCACCAAGTTACCTTCCTTTCAATTTTTCTCATTTTAACTTACTGAGCAGCCAGTTTTAATGTTCTGTAGAACAAGTAGAATCTTGTATTAGAGGAAGCATATGAAAAAAAAGTAACATCCTTTTGGAGATAATATAAACAAACAGAAGCCTACAAGGCCTGTGAATCTTTAATTAGGTTTATTTTTAACTTCAGTAAATAAGAAGCCTCAGTTCAGGGCAATGGCTTTGTATTTGGAGGTGAACTCTTCATTCTTCGATGGGGAATGCTAATTTTGCACATCAGAAGGAAATGGGGTCGTATGAGTGATGCCCTGATTAGTCAATACAATAGACTAGGTATTTTCATTTGTAGCGGGCATATTACATGCTATCCTAGTTTTATTCTCAGTTCAAGACCAAGACACGAGTTGGCATTTTTAGGCTATAGAATTTAACGCTGTTTGGTTTGCCACTTTTGTTAGGGTAGACTGAATGAGTAAACTTTATGACCACTTCACACTAAAAGCATTAATAATTTAACCAAGGCGTCTAAGCTCGCAGATATCGGCTTCTCTCAACATTCATCGCTCTCGCGTATACTATAAGTGTCCTTATGAAACTATATTCCTCACTTCTCCTAGACCGTAGAATTGCTAATTAAGATGTAGTAGATGTAACATGAGCACATTGTACATTAATTACAAAGGTGGACACGTTATTAAGTTCTAGTGGATGTCTGAAGACTAAACAATACTAGAAAGGGAGGAAATACGATAGAAGTATGACAAGATAGATATTCACGTTAAGATACATGTAGAGGTGGTAGAGAATCGGACAGCTATAAAATCCATAAGTCTGATATACCAACCTTGGCAGGATTTTACTGCAAGAGTTCACAAGAGATAAAGAATCCTAGTTCGAAGAGCACCAGGATACAAGTGAGGGGAAGAAAAAAGAGAAAGTATCATAAGCAACAGCTCCAGGGTATGAGAGACCCTGCGTAATTGACTACTGAGAACATAGCTGGCAATCGGATACATAGTAGAAACATTACACCTGTCATGATACAGAGTTAGTTGGTCCATACAGATTTGGTCCAGCGCTAACGATGTGAAGTAAGTAGAATAGAGAAGTGGATGTCAGAGCAAGTCGAAGAGCATTTCAAAGGAGATGAAATCCGTAGCTCCAAAAATAGGACCAGAACAAAAAAGCACTGGAGACAATGGAGTCACAGGAGTGGACATGCGGATCTATGCATAGGATATAAAGGCAAAATATGCTATATAATACACCTACTATATCACTCACTGGAGATACTAGCCTATTTAATATTCTCAATGAAAGTATCTAATAAAAACTATACACATGATTTTCTTATTTGGATATCCATAGTGGCGATTGGGTACAGGCCATTGCTTGGTTTTGTTTTTGGTGGAACATACTTTGAGGCTAATAATAGTAGAACAAAGTCATGGCAATAACCATGGTGTTAGTCACGCCATGTCAGTTCTTGGAGTAACTGTGTATATCCTTCTTCATAGATGTTATTCCACAGGAGTGGAAATTAATAACCATCAATGGCACACATCTAATGTTTAGATTTTTAAGAAGTCTCCATATTTTTTTCCGGAGTGGTTGCACTCACTTGCATTCCCACCAGCAGTGTATGAGAGTTCTTTTTTCTCCACATCCTCGCCAACACCTGTTGGTGGTGGTGTTTTTGATGATGTCTATTCTAACAGGGGTGAGGTGGAATCTCAGCGTGGTTTTGATTTGCATTTCCTTTATGACTAGAGATGGTGAGCATTTTTTTCATGTGTTTTTTTGGCCATTTGAATTTCTTTTTTTTGAGAAAGTTCTGTTTAGTTCAGTTGCCCATTTCTTTATTGGTTCATTGATTTTGGGAGAGTTTAGTTTGTTAAGTTCCTTATGTATTCTGTTGTCAGTCCTTTGTCTGATGTATAGCTGGCAAATATTTTCTCCTTTCTGTAGGTGGTCTCTTCAGTTTAGAGACCATTTCTTTTGTTGTGCAGAGCTTTTTAATTTTATGAGGTCCCATTTGTCCATCCTTTCTCTTAGTTACTGAGCTGCTGGAGTTCTATTGAGGAAGTCCTTGCTTGTACCTATTACTTCCAGAGTATTCCCTGCTCTTTCTTTTACTAACTTCAGAGTTTCAGGTCTGATATTAAGGTCCTTGATCCATTTTGAGTTGATACTAGTACAGGGTGATAAACATAGATCTAATTTCAGTTTTTCTCAGACTGATAACCACTTTTCCAAGCAACATTTGTTGAAGAGGCTGTCTTTTCTCCATTGTATGTTTTTGGCACCTTTGTCAAAAATAAGGTGGGCATAGCTGTGTAGATTCATATCTGGGTCCTCTATTCTGTTCCACTGGTCTTCATATCTGTTTTTTGTGCCAGTACCATGCTGTTTTTATTGCTATTGCTTTGTAATATAGTTTGAAGTAGGATATTGTGATACCTCCAGCATTGCTCTTTTTGCTGAGTATTGCCTTGACTATTTGCAGTCCCTTTTGTTTCCAAATGAACTTTAGGGTAGATTTTTTCAATCTCTGTGATCAATGTCATTGGGATTTTGATGGGAATTGCATTAAACATGTAGATTGCTTTTGTTAGTATTGCTATTTTTACTATGCTGTTTCTACCAATCCATGATCACGGGAGATCTCTCCATCTTCTGTAGTCTTCCTCAATCTCTTTCTTCAGGGGTTTGTAGTTCTCCTTGGAGAGATAATTTACATCCTTTATTAAGTTTACTCCTAGGTATTTGATCTTTTTTTGAGGCTATTGTAAATGGAATTGTTTCCATATATTCATTTTTAGTTTGTTTGTTATTGGTGTATAGAAAAGCTAATGATTTTTGTAAGTTGATTTTGTATCCTGCCACCTTGCTGTAGCTGTTTATGGTGTCTAGGAGATTTTGGGTAGAGTTTTTTGCTAAACAAACTGTTGACTCTATATTTTACCCTTTCTTTTTCTTATATGCTAAAACATGAAATGAGACAATAAAACTTTGTATTCATATTAAGTGACAGAAAATAGGAGATTTTAAAGTATTGAAGTGTTTTTGAGGTATCCCATAAAGTTGTAAATATTCTGGAAATCTTTTTTATTTATACAATGCTTGTAATCTGGTGTAGGTAATGAAAAGCCATATGCAATTGCTTTAAGAGGATTTAATATTGATTTGTATACATGAATATAGTGATTGTACTTGAATTCTTTATCAACCATGTGTGTTAATAGTGCATGAATCATGGAGAAATTACTTTTAGGCGCTCAGATCCCAAATCGATCTGCAAGAAATGTCCAGAATCATGGCATTCAGGATGTATTTGAATACCATCATTTGTGTTCACTGGCTCAATGTGAAGAAAATCCTTCCTTATCTTAAGTTAATCTAAAACAAAGTCACTGGATTTGACTTACCTAGTTTTAGTCTCTAGCTCCAGTCAGAAAATATGGTCATTAAACTTCAAGTTTATCCAGGGAGAGGAGGAGTCGACATAACAGTGGAGACATGATGTTCTTACACAGTCTTCACAATATCATCTCATATTTATGTGTTTGTTCAACATCGTGTATTCTTTTAGCACAAAAGCTCCATGGGGACAATCTCTTATTTTCAGATATAGCACAATTTCTGACATATGGTAATCATTTGATAAAAGGTTGCCACTAGTGTTAATCATGATGGTGATTTATATTCTTTATACCCCTAACTTCTTTTTTATTTTGTGTCTTTTCCCTGTTCTTCTATCCCCCCAACTTGTGTTCTCATTCTATTAATAAATATATTGATATAAAATTAGGTGGTTCTGGGGTTTGAACTCAGGTCCTACACCTTGAGCCAGTCTATTAGCCCTTTTTCTGTATTGGGTATTTTTGAGATAAGGTCTCCCCAACTATTTGCCCAGGCTGACTTCCAACCATGAGCCTCCTGATTTCTGCCTCCTGAGTAGCTAGGATTACAGGCTGCACATGTAATCCCACATGTGGGGATCTGAATTAATTATGTGTTTGACAATAATATATACACATTCATTATTAAAACTTCAAAGTGTAGGATGAAAAATATTGTTGAAATCTTAATTAAATAGAGTAATTGCAAATGTATTCCCTAACATGAAGATTACAACTTGAATTTTTTTATTGAATAAATGAAGCAATATTATTCACTAAACTTTTTTTTAAAAGTTTTTCTGCAAACTTTATTTCACTGTGGTTCAAATGTAATATTTTCATTTTGATTCATGGATTGTTCTTGCTTCTGTTTCTTTTTGATAGGTTCAAGCAATTCTGAGAAGAAACTGGAATCAGTATAGGATCCAATTTGGAAACAGCTTTTCCCATTCAGATGCTCTCCGCAGTGCATCTTACACAGTGTCCACCATCAGTGATGTCCCAGGATACAGCCATGACTGTCCTAATGAACACCTAAATGGAAAAAGCATCCACGATATGGAAAATATTGCCTTAAAACCAGAAAAGCTATATGATTTAGCCATATGAAAAATAGAGGGACCATTGCCCATTTTGTGCCATCCTAACTCAGTGACTTGGATGCATGATTTTACAGCTAGATAACTTCAATATTAAATGAATTTCTCAAATGCCATAAAGAAAGCTCCCAAATTAAATAATAAGTCTATTGATAAATGTATAACAACAATCTCTATGTGGGGAAATGCTCTGATTTATAATGTTTACCAGTAAATATTCCCACTATCACTGATACAATACTATCCTGACATCACTGAAATTGGGGGTGGGGAGATAAGCACCATGGGCTCTTGTAAGCTGACCACACCACTGAATGAACGCACCAATGAATGACTGTGAAAGTTCAGATACCACTGACTCTACTCTTGTCACCTTAGGAGACCTAGCATAGTCTTATAGACATGGAAGGAAAATTTCCTTTTTATTGGCTGTAAAAATCTTTATTCCATTTTCTTCAGTGCAATTGCTTTTTATTTGCCCAGAAACACTCTACACATTTTTGTAATAACTTATTAAATGAAGCAGACAAAGAGTTAATTTTGCTATGGGCTACTCATGCTGATATATACATCACAATTATATCCTGTATCATACCCATTTTTGAGGTTGGTAAACAGGATATATGATATGATATGCAATATCATATGATATGCAATCCTACTTCTGCGTCATTCAGGAGACATCTTGGTTGATGGCAGAAAACACCTTCCCAGCTACTTCCCTGTCTTCCTAGCAAGTGGGAGGGAATCAGTCTCCCTATATCTGTAAATAAACACTTTTTCCCTTCCATTTCTACTGTGTAGACAAGTTAGCAGTCATTTTACATGAAGGAAATCAATGAAGGATTTCTTATTACCTTGGAAGCTTGTAAAAAAATAAGATTGTTGTGAAAAATGAGCTTGTAAATCATTATTTTATTTATAGTTTCAAATCAAATACATAAAATGTAGGTAGTTGTTTCAAAGCAGATACAAAATACAATATAAGCACATTAATATCTGGTATTGCATCTGGGCTGATTTTATAATAAAATAGAATCTGGAATTCTATACTTGGTAAATATTTTATGGACAACCAGATACCAGCATCACAAGTTTGTTTGAAATGAAAAAACCAGAAACATCTGTGATAAGATATAAAATATTTATTTAAAAAACACAAGACTATTTTATTGGCATATTGGCTTTGGAGATTCATTCCTTAATAATTGGTATGCTTGACATATTCCTTCTTCAATTTCATTCAAATGCAGAAATTTTAAACAACTATTGTAATAAATGCCATTCTGCTACTCTTGTAAATTTTACTACAATAAAGAATTACTTTACTGACTTTTACTATGTGATAATAGATGGCTGTGGAAAGCCTCAGATTATTAAAGAAACAAAACCAGAGCAATAAATAATATGATATACAATGTTTCAATATTTTTAATAGACTACTGTATATGATGACAGAAAGTAGTGAAAGACTTGATTATATCGTTGAAGAATTGTCAGACATTTATGGAATAATTACATTAAGATGGAAGAGAAGTTTCTTAATGAATTAAATTGACATCTCAATGGAATTCAGCTTTTCTCATGTTATTTTCCAGTGGAATCTCTGAATAGCAAGAATAACCAGGTACATAAGGTCAATTTGGGGAGTAATCATTATACGTATGTGGTCTTTGAAGTATATCAGTCAACTTAAGATGGATCAAAGTAATGATTTAGTAAACATAAATTGTTTCCTAATCCATATTAGATAGTGAGTTAAGAAATTATTTGAAATGGTCAAGAAAAACTATCTAAATTAGTAAGAATTGACATATTAAATGGCCTGATAAATACATTTATAATTTATCTGTACTTGTAAAGGTATCATTAAGTTAGTTTCAAATTTATAAATTTCATAGCAATCTCATAAGAAGGAACACAGGCTGTTCTGAAATTTCACCTGCCTAAATTATACAAAAATTTCTTTTAATAAACAATTTTTAGCTATTTATTATTCAAAGACATGAATTCACATCCTTTGCTGTCAGTGTTCATGTAGTTTAGTTCTAGACAAATTGTTAAGGTTTAGCCATACATGACAAAAGAAAATGTTGAATTACCCAAGAAAATGCTAAATGGTATTGCAGTTTTCAAGTGTTTTTATTTTTCTTTAATCATGTTAAATAGATGACATTTCTTTTGTTGCCAGTACTCATCTGCTATACAGTCTTTAGCTGAATCAATCAGTCTGTGATCAGTATTCGTTTTGCATCCACATATTTTCAAGAGTTATATTTTTGAATGTAAAACTTCTCTAAAACTGAAATGCTAATTAAGATCTTTTTATATTACTTGTAAAAAACAATAAATCTGATACTTTTTAAAAACAAACTTCTTTGGTATCTAAAAACTAATTTTTGGAAATATCTAGCTTTTAAAATTGCAGCTCTGCCATTTTTCTGTAATAACTTGTGAAAGCCATATTTTAATTTTCTAAAATTTTTATTCCACCATTTTAAAAGTTTTTTTCTAATTCATTTATTCATAAAATATCCATTTTGGAATTTAGTGTCTGTTCAAATGTAACCCAATTTGCATAAAATGATTGGCAGTTGTTTTGCTGTATTTATTGCTTATACATTTTTAATGTGAAATTAAATTTTCTCTTGGTTTCAATCTGCTAATAGAAGCATTATCTGTAAAACATTTTCAAGATACTCTGATCAATTAAAATAACTCCGTTATACCTCCTAAAACTATGTCTGTTTGTTGACTTTACAAAATATTAAAGTTACAAATCACATTTGACTCTCACTCATACTTACTGGAGTACTGAATGATCCCATTTGTACACAAAATTCTCACAGCAATCAGTGAGATGCTTCTTATAATCCATGATTTCATCTCTACTGCCCTCTTTAAACTCTTCAATAAGCCAGGAAGTAAATTTAATAAACCAATTAAGAAAAGTTAGGAATCTGTTTTTCTAGTTAAAACATGCAAGTAAATTATAATGTATTTATAAATTATTTCCTATACTGCAAGAAAGGGAAAGGTACTCAGAAATAGAAAAATATTTAGGATTTGTTCCCTTGCTCCACTGTATTCTACTGTATGCTTTTTTAAATTAAACACTAGAAAAAAAAAAAGGAAAACAACTGCTTAAAGACAATTTTGAAAGGAAGGCAGTGTCTTGACTCTAACATAAATAAAAATATGTCAAAGACTTCAGATCATCAATTAATGAAGAAACCAATAACATGTCACAATCATTCAAAGGAGAATGAAAATATCATATACATTTCAGGATACAAAAAATTCTGAAATAAGTGCAAAATGGCCTTTTCAGTTATATTCTATTAAATAACTAATTTGTATCTCTGTGATCAAGAATAATATACATTATTGCCAGGTGTAGTGGTTCATACTTATAATCCCAGCTTCTTGGAAGGTACAGATAGGTAGATCACTGTTTGAGGCCAGTCTAGGCAAAAAGTTAGCAAGAACCCATCTCAAAGAATACGTTGGGCACGGTAGTAAACACCTGTATACTAAACACTGTAGTACACATCAGCTATATAGGAGGTGTTAGAAGGAAGACTGAGGTCTGAGGGCATGCCTGGGCAAAAAAAAAAAAAATTGAAATCCCATCTAAAAGAATAACTAAAGCAAACAGGGATGGAGGCATGGCTTAAGTGGTAGAAGCCTTCCTGCAAACTGTGAAACCCTGAGCTCAAACCCCCATAGTGCCAAAAAAAGAGCAATATACATTATCAGTTTTCTACAATAACATGTAGGTAAAATATCTCAAAACGATGAAAGATAGAGACAGTTCAAGAAGGCAAGTGAGAAAGCACTAGAAAGAACACTCTAATAGCTAATATGTCATCCATATATTTTTTCATACATAATGAGATAGTAGAATAATACATATATAGCATTATAACTCAAAAGAATAATATTCTCAATTAAAAATACTGCTAATCTCATAAGAGTTGTCAGCATTACTTACAGAGATGTGCAAGTGTTAATTTATGATATAGCATCCTTAAGTTTATTTTACAAAATCTAGAAACATACAACATTTTAACATCTTCATATTTAGGTATCGTTCACATACCATATGACTCACCCATATAAAGTGGTGGTTAGTATAATACCATAGCATATTTTAGTATATGCACAGATATATTTTACCATCACAGGACTTTATTAAATTTTTGTGATATTGAAGAGATGCAATGTATTTCCTTATTCTGAACTTTCATATGTATATAACCATATGTTAAATAACCTTTACTGACTGTCTTCTTTTTCTTAATAAAATTTTCAAAGATCATTCAAATAGTATATATCCAAATTCATTTTTATGCCTGGATATTATTTCATTGTATGGATGGAGAGTATTTTGTTGTCTATGCATTTATCTATCGACGAACATTAATTTTCACTGCCCTTGTGTACCTAGGAGTAGAGATTCTGAGTCATCAGATAACTCTGGGTTTTATTATGTGAACAACTGCCTGACTATTTCCCCAACAGTTGGACCATTTTATATTTCCTTTAGCAGTATATAGGGGTTCTGATCTCTCCACCTTTTCCCAATACTTATTACCTACCTGCCTTTCTTATTTTAACCTTCTTAATATGTATGAAGTACTATCATGCTGACCTAATTTGAATGTTTCTGGTCTTTAATGTTTTGAAACATCTTTTCCCATGTTTATTGACCATTTGTATATCTTCTTTGGAGAAATATCTGTTCAGATCCTTGCTCATTTTTAATTTAGCTATCCTTTTACTATTGAATGTAAAGTGTTCATTTACTCCAGACACAGGCTCTTATAATAAGACAAATAATTTCCAAATATTTCTCTCATATTTATGTTGTCTTTTCACTTTCTTGATTACATCCTTTATTACAATAGTTTATAATTTTTACAAAATACAATTTATTTTTGGTGGTGTCATATCCAAAAATCCTTTGCCAAATTCAAGGTCATGAAGATTTACAGATTTAGCACTTACATTTAAAACTTTTTCCATTTTGAGTTATTCACATTTGCCATGATTAGTGTTTTCTTTTTTAAAGATAATTACTAAACTTCATTACATAATTTTTACAAACAGAATTATTTAAATCACAATATCATAAACTCAAGAAATATATCTGAAGAGCTACCAAAGTATTAACTTGCAACAAATGTAGCAGATTTGAGTAATCTCATGTTCCACAAAAATGAGTTTGGACATTTCTTTTCATATTACCACCATCAAGACAATAATGATTTTCAGAATACAGGAAAAATTTAGTCTGTTCTGTCTTTAAGAATAGTAATCAAATACACTTATCTATAAAATTCAGCAAAGAATTAAATTACATAGGCTACACACTCAGAGGTGATCAGGAGCAAATTAAAATGTTATGCTAATACCAATATTAGGTAAAAATTACATAAAGATAGTATAAGAACAAAGTACTTACATTTAATGCAGAGGTAAAAGGTAAAAATACTTAGATATGTACCAACCAGTCAGAACACATGCTACCCATTATGTTTTCAGACCATCAGTCCTGAAGTTATATTTGGTAAAAAAAAAAACTATGTGTGATATCTATTAAAATACCCATAAATTCACAAAATGGAGGTCTGATGTTATAAGAGATTAAATTAGCAAATGAATTTAAGTCAACCAGTAGTTTCAAGTATATACTGTCCCAAAGCACAGCTATAGAAACATTCCAGTACAAAATGGAATCCCTCCATACATATTTTACAATTTAAGTGGAATTTGACATTCTAATATGTTTCACCTTACTTTTAAGCCAACATCCTGAAATAAATCCTTTCCATTGTACAACTTTGTTTTTAATTTTTGAAAACTACAATTTAAAGCTATAACTTAAGCTACTCAAATCATTTTACAGCAAAGCTTGCAGAAGCAAACTTACTTTAAAATCAATGAATTAAATCTTGTATCTTTGCTCCCAGTTACAAAATGAAATTTTCTATGATCCAGTTGGAGAAGATATTAAAAATTCTCAGTTGACCCAGAGACAACTCCTCCCTTGGATCAAACTCTCCATGCTATTTTGCAGAAATGTTGTAAACATTCTGCTAACTACCCAGAAACATTTACCTCAGTTTACAACACCCAATGAGCAAAGGATGAAAACAAAACAAATAGCAAGACAAAAAGTTTCCTCAGTTTCTTCTTGTCCCTACAGGAGCATGTGCTCCTCTTGTTCATGTGTGGTCAGAACTCCACAACTCTCACAGTGGAGCCACACATCTGCCCTCTTCAGAGATACACAAAGTCTTTACTTCTGGCTTTACTCCCATGCTACACAAGAGAAAGATGCACCCCATGAACAAGCAACTCATTTCAACTCAAACACCAGGAATTTTTTTTCTCTTTTTATGTTCCTTTCATTCTTACTTTAAAAAGTGTGTTGAGTTAATAATAGTTAATCTCTTCTGAACCGCAGTTAATATTGGGCCAATCCTCATCTCAGAGTATATAAAAACTTCTCTTTTTTTGTTACAATCCCCCTGATTGACCCAGGTCTGTACACCCTGGAGACTCCTCCAGACTGTAGTGTACTCTCCAGCATGTGTTCTGTAAGTTATGGTGACCATACCTTCCAGTTTTCTCAGGAGTCCACATGAGTTGCACACTGTTCTGGCATCAATTCCAGCTCAGCATTTGCATTAGTAACTTGAGATCCATGAAAAAAGGAGGCATGGGAGTGCTGCTTTTGTTTCTGTACTTTAGACATCCCAATCTGGTCTTAATCTAGCTTGACATCTCTCCGTGATGAGTAGTTTTCCAAGCCAAGAAAACATGTCCACCTAGAGCCTAAGACTACACTTATAACCACATCCGGTGCACATCTGAGATTCCAACACAAATAGCTTATGCTCCTACAAAGGACTGGATAAGTTATCTAGCTGAA